CCTTTGACGAGGCTGTTGGTTGACTAATCAAAAGTAGACGAATCTTTGACAAGCTGTCAGTCATATAGAGTTTTCGATTTTTGATCGGATCAAATCTCGTTTTACCAAAAAGTACTAGTTCCTAATCCTTCTAGGAAACCTGTTAGCAATCAGCATTGACAATTCTACGTGCAAGCTTATGTACTTCAATAATTTGTTTTTTTAAAGTAGTCGAGATAAGTGAACACGATAATTAACAATTGTAACTTTGCTCTTGTTTGGTTTTGTTAAAAATTAAATTTTTAGTATATTTTTATTAAATTAAATTTGATGAAATTTATTATTGAAAATTTGATAAAAGTTATGAATCTCATTAAATTTGTGGTTAAACCACACGGGGACTTTGCAAAATTGTTGGTATACATGTTCTCAAAATTAGAAATAAACTATTTATTNGTGGTTAAACCAAACGGGGACTTTGTAAAATTCTTGGTAAACATGTTCTCAAAATTAGAAATAAACTATTTATTTTAATAAATAAAAACAGTGTGGGTTTTAAGTGGTTCTCTAACACTATTGGGCTAGTGCTATGTGTGACATTTGTGTTATTGCTTATTCTTTACTTAGAAGCTTAAGTGTCACCCACTTATTGGTAGCTTGGTATTCACCTGGATTGTGCTATTTTAGAATTGATTGTGGCCCTTGGATGAGATCTACGGCTGAGGTTTATTCTTGTGAGATATTTTCTCTTGGACTTCGACTTTTGAGCTCCATTCTGTTCCTTCCTTGAGACTTATCTTCTCTTCTCTCTCTGTTGAGTCTGTCTCTTCATCAGGTGTTCACTGTCTCCTTTGCCTGTTGTTGAGAGAATCTTGTGTAATATTCAGGCTTGAAATAGTAATTGAATGGTGTTGGTTTCTCGCAAGGGTTAGGTCAGTGTTAGGGCTTGAACTTGGCTGCCTTTGGTAGATCTTTTGATCGATAATCCAAGTCAAATATTGAGTGGTTCTGGCCGGTTGTTCTCTCTCTCTGGATGGCGATTTGCAGTGCGTGGAAGGGCTGTTCCTGAGCCTAGTATTTTCGGCCGGTAGAAGGGAAGGAGCTCTCGATTTCTTTCTTTTAATTTCTCTGTTTTTCTGTTATGTCTTGAAATGTTTATTTGCATTGTGAGTGTAAGATTATAAACAGTGATTTCCCAACAAACAGCAAATTCCGATATATAAACTCCAAGTTTTCGATGATATCCCA